ATTTTAAAATATTTTTCAAACAACTATGCCTTTCGGTAGTTTAGAAGGAATATATACATATATATATTTTCTGGGTAAAAGGTTTCTTTTTGCTCGGAATTATCATTTAGCGAGCATATAATGCAGGTGAATTGAAATTAAAATTCAATGCGACTTTAATATGGCACATCAACTTTGTTAAAGCGAATGTTGTAATCATTCATCAAATGCCTAAATAACCAAAGAAATTACTGCCAGCCTTTAAGCTAGTCCGCTACGCCTAACAAACTTAATTTCGTTCATGACCCCATGTCGTGACGAACTAAATTATTTGTGTGTCAAATGCACTGTCATAATCTCCATTTCCTGCGAGTTTTGCAATAATTTTGTGTTCATGCACGTCGAGCACCACTTTGTTGGTAAAAATTATTATTATTTAGAAATAATATATAAAACACTCTGGAATATCTCCTTTCTCTGCTATATACAATCTTTCAAGGAATTTTCACTTTTAACATGGAATACATATATTTTTCACTTGACTATTTGTTTGTTAAATATTATTTTGTATATATAATATGCGTAAATTGTATTCAAGCATGTTATTTTTATTATTTTTACGTTTTAATTTTTATTGTAGCATATTGCTAAAGAGTTGTGAAAGAGTTCAAAAATACGAAACTTTAAGTATCTGGATTAAGACAGCAATTTATGTGAATGGCTTAGAATTTACAGCATTTGTGATTGGGGGTCTAGGTGTTTTTGTTATGGGTGTCAATGTGAGTTACAATTTTAAAGTATAAGTGTGGTAAGTATAACCTAAGGGTGTGTGTGTGTGGGTGTAGAGAGTCAAAAGCTTACGAGAAACACCATCGAGATAAAGATTTAGTTATACCGTTAAATTTTTGTATAAATATCATCATTGTAATAGCTTTGTATGCATTAACTACCACATGTGTATATGTATATATATATTTCTTCACATATTCATGTACATAAGTATGCTACAAATATTTATAGCTGCTTTCAATTGAGTTTAAATTGAATTGATAAATTCACCAACCGCTTAAATTACGAATAGTATAAGTATATAGTAGATGAGTTTAAATACTTTACGCTTATAATATTTAGCATGTATACAATATATTTTTTGTTGTTGTGTTTTAAAAATTATGGTTTAACTTTAAGACTTGCACAGTGAAAATATTATTTTTTACATATGTATGTATGTATGTTTGCATGTATATAATAACTTCGCTCCGCTTTTGCATGGTTAAGCAAATACAGTTATTTGTGTGTGTTCTTTTTTTTGTATAATGTACTTAGTGGCTTTTATTTGCCTTTATCGCCTATGTTTCAGTTTCGGTATATCTTTTACATTTATTTTCTAAAGTTTAGACATATTTAATAGATATGTATATATATATACATATATATAATTTATTATGAAAAGTTTAATGCTTTTCATTTAATTTATGCTTAGATTTTTGCATTTTCCTTTATTGCATATATTTTATAAATTTTAATGAAAACTTCGCTTATTTTAAGTTGCACTAAAATGCATTATCTCAATATATTGCATTCATAAAAATAGTACGATAATAATAAATAGTAGTCGTAGTATATGTAAGTAATTAGTAGTAGAAATAATGTTAACTTGTGTTTTTGGGCCATTTTTATTTATTTATTTTTTGAAAAAAAATTTTTTTTTTGGCAACATTGCTTTTTAAACAGTTCATAAGGCTATTCGTACTGAAATAGAATTTTGGCTAAACTTAAATACAGGGTGGGACCGTTGCTGCTACTGCGTGCTATTTCAATATCTTTCCGATGGAAGTAAAAAAGATTTCCATCAGTTTACAAGTACCAAAGAAAATATCTAAACTGCAATGTATGTGTTGCATAAGTTAGGAACACAATAATAAGAATAAAAAAGCACGAGAAGACTAATGATCGTGTTAACATGAAGACCGTTATGTAAAACTATATTGTAACTTTATTTGCAGTCCTCATGTAAAACCGCGTGGTGAAATAATTACTATTACTATAACACAACTTAAGTGGTACAAGAGAACTTCTTATTAGATAACTATCTTCGTAGATTAACATATCAATAGATAGGTTTCCATTAAAATTCTGTGGTTCTTAATTCTGAGTGCTGAGAAGAAGTATATCGTTAACTGGAAGAAACTGGTTAGGCTAGAGTAATTTTTATTAAAAATGTAAAAAATTCTTAGAGCTTAATATATATAAAGTTTGCCTAAATGAATGCGTTTACATTAGCATTAGCCTCGAAGACTGCAGAGATTTGTAATTTACTCCTGTGGGATATTTTATAAATTTGAAAAAAATTTATTTGCTATTAAACACCACAACGATCACTTCGATTTACTGCTTTTCAAACAAATGTTTGATAATATGAAGTCGATTATTATTTGCTGGTGCGGATAGATTGGACTACTATATAAAATATTATATTCATATATCTAATTTAGTTGAGTATAAAAATGTACACATTTAAAAATCGTTTCAAAAATATTACTATATATATGTTGGAGTATAACTGATGAAAACATAATTTAAATAACTTCATGTATTAATTGATATATTTGATTTTATGTAGAATACAAACTTATTTACTAGTGTAACTTTCAAGGGCAATTGATTTGCAAAACTTAACATTTTTTAGAAGACTCATCACAAGGCAATTTAAATTGTAATTTCTTTTCCTATAATTTTATTATTATTTATTAATTATTGTTTTTCATTAATAAAACAGTGGTATTTAAATTAAAATATCAAAGTTTTTAAAAAAAATTCAATACCACATACTTATGTATATGTATATCGGTAATTTATTAATATGCCAATATTTTAAAATGACTTAAATCGATTTAGATAAATCGAAATGAATTTAAGGTATTCTAAACAATTTATTCGGAACCGGATATTTCAAAATCTCCAAAAAATCAAAAGCTAAAGTCGACTTAAGCAACTGCTGTTTGAGTTATATATTAAGGTTTTCAATTTAAAGTCTGACTTTTGCAATTGAGGCTCAACTTTCTTTTCGTAATTGAAATTCTTACATCAAAATATGAATAAATGCATATATATTTCTTTTGCAACTTATGTGTTTACATATCTCATATGGGCGTTCAACGACAATGAAGAAATGATGAACTCGAGTGTAAATTTTTTCAAAAGACTATTAATTGTACTGTGCTGGCGCAAAATCACCAACTCAGAAAACATTTTCGGGCTGTTTGCTGTAGCAATGAATTAAGAGTGCCTCAGAAATAACAGAGTTGTTGTACCAATTAATTAGTGTGACTTTAAACATTTGGATTAGGTTATAAGAAACTGGATAAAAATTTGCCGAATGCATATTGCAAGGTGACTGGCTAATATTATAGTAATATATAATTTTTTGTGTATTTTTTTCGAACTTCTATCGCTGAATTTTAAACCTTAGTATGTTTTTTTTCCTCAGTTAATTATATTGTTTGCTTCTAAGCATGAATCTGAATACAAAAATACGTTATCATTATAATTACGATATTGTTATGTCTTTTTTAGTTATATAAGCAGATATTTATTGTAAATGTAATAGTTCATGTATTTATTATTAACTATATATTAGTTAATATATTTTCTATCTGTTTTCTGATTTAAACATTAATTTAATACTTAATAGTTTATGTTGTGTTATCTTTGATTACAAAGTTCTTTCCATTCATATGTATTGCCTTCTGCCATCATTATGCCACGAAATGCATATACCCCGCTGAATATTTATACCCTTCCTCCCAATGCGCCACAAACGTCGACACATGCCAATAGCAGCAACTTATAAGAGATTCCGGCAGACGTCTAGCTAATTTTGTTGTTGATGCCGATGCATCTGCTACCCGCAACCATCCGTCGGTCAACAGTCGATTATTCAATCAAGCATGAAGTTTTCAACAGCGGCCATTAAAGCCAACGAATCCATCAAATTCTACTTGGTATGCTAGCGCCAGTGTCGGCAAGGATGCTTGGTTATAAATATGAGAAGCCAACAACAACAGCAGCAAATAGAATGGCATGCATACAAGTGAAAATATTCCTCGGCTTAGCACATACCTGGAAAGCATTTTTTACTGAATGCTGGCAAAGCATTCTAGTCTTCTCACTAAGGAGTTGCGAGGTGCAAGCGGTAGGACTGCTCATGTAGTTCTGCGCATAATAGAAGCATTGTCAATCGGAATGAACCGGAAGGAAAAATCGGCACTTGTTCGAGGATCTTGCAGTCGTTAAAGCTTGGCAGCTTTGCTTGGCTAAAGCTAAAGGTAATTTTGTATTGTATGCAAATTAAGTGACATTTTCAGCTGTACATTGATAGCCTGCATGGCATTCGTGCGCCGAGTGCAAGCGAGTAATTTGAGTGCGACATTGAAGGCAGCTTTTGCTGACGATAATATCTAGCTGAAACCAGCTATAACTTATTCATGTTGTCCTCAATTCTGCTCCTTTACTTATTGGCATGTGCTGCTGCTGTTATTGTTATTTATTTGATCTTTACGTTGACACTCACGACATAGCATCACTGCTTACAAAACATTGCTAGACCCTCAATGCACTCCGTATTGCTATTAAATAATTCATATAAGCGTAAACAACTAGTCCAGTAGCAACTCTTTCGTTTTCTCATTTTCTACTGCAAGTGCACATGCGGCGTTTTGGCGCTACTGTCGGCTCGTTAACTTGACTGGCACTTCATTGATAGCTGTTCAGCAATGTTGATATTATTTGTTGTTCTGCTGCGCCACCACATTCGGCGCCTTGTAGAAGGTTTGCACGAATTCCGAGAGGCTGTAGACGGTGCCGGGTCCCTTGCCCGCATTCATGCAGATAAAGTCACCCAAACTATGCGCATTGCCTGGAGGTAGATTGAAATGATAAAAATTAATGAAATTAAATTCAAGCCCAATAACATCATAATCGAATAGTAAATGCTGAATAAATGCCTGAAATGCCTTACTGCTTGACTGTATGGGCGGGTATGACGGCGGTGGCTTTATCCAACTGCCATCTGGCCTTCGCATGTGGCGGCGGTCGGATGAGAACTCACTTAGATATGTTTCTGCGGGTATGACTCTGAAGTACCTACAAATAAAATGATATGATGATATTAAATATTTACATATAGTAAGTTAATGCGGAATGCATAATTTTTCAATTCCATCAACCCAATAAGACGATATAAATGAAATTTGCAAACTTGATTTTGCGACTTGTTTCAGAAATCAGTATTTTTTTTTTTCGATATAAGAAAACATACAGAAGCACATACTGAGCCTTCTATTTGCGGCTTTTATAACCATTCTACATGGTTTAGTTCTCTCGAGAATACCCAAAAGTGAGCACCAACTCAAATCAGACCTACTTAATAAATCTAATGTTTTTCAGTGTATCGTTTGATGTTTGTTTAGTAAAATTGGTCATCTTCTCGATATTCTTGTGGATTTATCGGTACACTCATTTATTTCTGAAATTTATTGATTTATAAATTCTGTAACGTGTCCAATTCCTGGATATCGTAGACAATTATTGACGAAATTCACTCATAACCAGAGCTACCTTCATATATAAATCGATTCCTAGCTTTCGCTAAGCTTTTCAACCAAATATGCAAATCTGAATAATTTTTCTCAAATATAGAAGACAACTGCACATACTTCTCCTAGCTTGATCCTTAATTATATATTAAATTCATCAAAAGATACGCTTATATGACGTACACACGGGACAGAGAAAGTTAGGGAGTTCTGCTAAAAAAATTTCGTAGATTTTTTCTGTAACAATTGTTGGGTGGAGGTTCCGTATCTTATATTATTCGCGGTTCTCGGTTTTTTCTCTACTTCCCTGCTTATAACGTCCATATTCCGAAGTAATTTGACATCTCACAAGCCACGGGAAATTTAGTACAAACATTTTTCTCTCACCTATGATGTTCCGGTCTCAGCGCAAGATCCGAGCGAAACGTTTCTGTTACGTATTTGTGAAAATATGTAGGAAAAGGTAGTGTCGTGTCCAAGTCAAACACCAAGCAGCGATTTGGTGATGGATTGTGCATAAAGAAAACGTGGTAGTCCTAGAAGAAATGAAATATGAAAATTTAACTATATTTGAAATGCATATGTATATTACGTGGAACAGTAAGAATACAGTTATACAAGCCATCACATATATTTGTAAAAATGTTGTAATGCAGAAAAGAAAAAATCTAACGAAAAAACAATACTGCATTACATGTTCGTGGTGCGGGGTCCTACAAGGCTACAACTGGTAGCGGTAATAGGCGGACAAAAACACAGAGCCCAAGGGGACTTAAGACTGGCATGAAAGAGAAGTAATGTAACAGCTAATATACACGCTCACATAAAAGAAAAAACACATTCCATAACCATATACTTCTAAATATATGTATAAGCGCGAATGTAGATTTTTAAAGGTAAATTCTGGATGAATTTTTTGCGAGCTCTGTAATTGTAGTTGTGAACATTAACGCCGACGGGTATTTTGTGCACATGCCACGTACAACATGCTATACGCCGTTTACACGCTAAAATAACAACAAATAACGGCTACTGGTGTGGTGTGTATGATCCTCATTGAGCCATTGCGCCATCCGCCACAAACTTCCCTCGCCGACCGTAAAATTGGCGCGCCTTCAAGCTTTTACTTGCCTCAGCACATAATTTCTTTATTTTATTAGTAGACAAATTCGCAAAATTCACGAATAACCTCCAACTGCTACTAGCCAGCATAACAACGTGCTTGCAGGCCCCACTGAAATTGGCTCTTCCATGTAGGCTCGGCTCTTCATGTGCAATTGCTATTTTACTGTTTTTTTTTTTTTTTTTGAATTTTTTACTTTGTGCTCCGAAAAGTGGGCAAAGAAGAAACTCGAGGGCGGCTACTTAGACTACGTAGTTAGCCAATATGATTTTATTAATGCATGCACGGGAAAGGTTAAGTGTATTCGTGAGATTTTACTTTTACATACAAAAATTTACGAACAAACCAAGCGTCCATAGAATTGTGAACAGCCAAGGATAAGCCTAGTACACGCAGAATAAGCAATCAGCCAACAAGTCAGAACAGCCGAGCCACACATTTCTTATGTGCCTTTTTCCGAGCTGTGAGCTAACATACCAAATCGCCACCGAATATTCACGGAATTGCATCTACAGTAACAACACAGTTAGCACTGCAGCACGAAGCTTTGTGTGACCCTGGCCATGTAACTACTTTTCGCTAATAAAATTGAAGCAGACCATACATCACTCTCCAGTCATCTCAGCAGCGAACCCGTTGGCTGAGTAAATTCATACATAATTGATGATGCCGATCGGTTGAGATGGCCTGGTCACAGCCTCTGTCTGAACTGCAGCTACTCTTCAGCACAGGGTGGTAGTCACCGATGTAACTGCAATGCCTTTTCTAAACAGCCCTTCATCGACTTTTTTGTGTATTTAATGTTTGACAGTGACCGGGTGCAACTGACTAATGATTTTGAACGTTGCTTTTCGGTTTCACCGTATACGTAGACCATTAAGTACTTCAAACAAATACAATGTGACCTTTATTTGGAGAGAAGAAGAAAAGTGTAAGACGGCCGCATTTGCTGTCCTAATTTTAAGAATTTAGAAATCTCTTTATGGTGTCTATTAGCAATTTCAAAGAGAATTTAAAGTCAAATCCATTCAAAGTTTATATGAAAGTGATTCACAAGGTTCGGGTCGATTTCAGGATTGTATCACACCACGGTCTCAAAAAGCTAATATTATTATTTAGCAGTAATTAGTGTTGTGTGATTAAAAACTTTAAAAGGGGAAAAATCATAAGGGTCCATCCAGAGTGATTAAAATAGATCATACTTTCACGAATTATTCTGGAAGTAAAGAAAAAGAGCCCGAATTTATTTAAATCAAGCTTTATTACAAATGTATTTGACAGTATAAAAAAGTTTATCGACACTTTGGTGGCTACCGAATAACATTCTTCAAGAGGACATCCATGCGCTACAGTGTATTAAAAACCAGTGCTATTTGAAACAAATCATCGTCTATATAAGGCTTGCTAGTTAAGTTATACTCGTTTAGCGTACAACCCAACTAAAACTGTAATTGCTGAAGTTGACTGACCCAACGTTCATTACCACTTTTTTTTACTATTATACAAATAGAACCATGGTTGTAAAACACTGAAGTGTGCTTTAAACCAAACAAAGGTCGGTTTTTGGCAAATCCTAGAACGCCAAATGATACAACTAATTTTGTGCCAAGAAGATCCAGATTTACCGAAACATCTTCCTATAAATCATCTGAATTTTGACCTATTCTAATACGGATGATATTATTTCGAAGAGTCTTTTCGGTCATTTTTAATAAGTCGTGATGTGTAAATTTTTTTTCACTGTATTCAGTAATGTTTGCAATTTCATCGAAAAATGTACGTTTACAAATTAATCAATTTTATTATCAATATAATCGTTCTCCAATTGCAAGAATTGCTCGCTATTCGTCGAATTCTTCAAAATTTCAAGCGCACTTTTCTTTACATAATTTTCAAGTGCCAAGAAGACCCGCTCGAAGTAATGGAAATATCGCCGCCGTTCAGGCATCTTGTTGATTCTTCGTTCGATTCAAGTATTGAAATTGTCTGAAACCCTAACCTAACCGATTTTGAGAAAATTTGGACCGGCATTCGTATAAAATTGATCTCTCTTAAGAATTGAAACCATTGGACCTCCGTAAATGTGGAGAATTTGCTGACTTTGCCTTGGAAGGTGCGAAGAAAATTCACAAATTATTCATGAACTAATATTACATTCACCTAAATTGTCAGTTTGGTAAGGTTTTTGGTCTAGTGGAATTATTGGTCCGTACTCCATTCGAAATGAAGCTGGAGACACTGTTATTGTGAATCGAGAGCGGTATGGATCGATGATAACCACTTGTTTATGACTGCAATTGGAAGAAGGTGGTCGTGCCATACACCACGTCTTTTTTCTCAAACATTTATAGTTGATGACAAAGAAAAGTCGTCGTTCTAATGTGGTTGAAACCAATACACAAAATGACAAGGGATTCCAATACATCAACCGGATCAATGTCAAGACTTATTTGAAATTTAGTTCAACAGGTCAAAATTCACCCAGCAGTGGCCTAAAAGCAATGTTCCTGGTTACATACCTGCAAATAATTGGCCTCCCAGAAGCACTGATTGTAATCAATTTGACTACAGTTTTTGGTCAGAGTTCAAAAAATGTACCTGTCGAATAGTTAGTTCAAAGTATGTAGTAGTTAGAAGTAAGCTTCAAAAGGGTTATGCATACATTTCAAGCTCAAGATCAACCAAATCTTAAAAACTTTTAACCTTCTGCCTTTCAATTCAATGCATACATACATTGTTACTATTCATATTTCATCTGAAATCTGTTCGATTCTATGAATAAACAAGTTAGAGAGGGCTTCGCTTATAACCGAGCATTTCATAATATTGCAATTTGGAAGAATTAAAGCCAGAGAAGTATTTTCAATTACATAAGGTTTGTTAGTTATATGGGGCATAGAGCGAGGTTTTACCTGATTTTAATGTTTGTAAGCACAAAAATGCGCCGTTATTAGAAAAACACGCTCTCTCAATTGTATTAAGATAACTCACATATTGAACGATATATACTTTATAAATTCACTCAAAAGTTCGAAAATCCGTATATTAGGTCTAAAGCGATCCGATTCCAACCATTTTTGACATACAGACAAACCATTGTCAGGAAAAGATTATCTTTGAATTTCAATTACATTAGGTTGTGAAATATCTCTCTTCCGCCTTTTTGTCTTTTGAATTTCGCGGCTATATATAAAGCGCTACAAAGCTCGTATATAGCAATACTATACATCTTTAAACGTTCTTGACATAACCTACAAAACGACGCTATGCATGATTAGTTTGGATTTTGCTTTAAACAGTTATGGACGAGTAAACATGGAGTTCACTAACGCCGAAATTAGCGCTATTTTGAAGTTTTCCTTCGTTAAAGACAAATCCGGCGGAAGATGGCTTCTCGCCCAGAAGAGGGGATTTAGTCACCAAACCATATTAAACCATCTAGAGAAAGTGGTATGCTGCTGAAACGGAACGAACTCGACCACCAGGATTGTGCTCGTTGATGACTCGTCAGAAGCAACAGGAGCTCGGATGGGAGGTTTTATCGCGTCCACCATATAGGCCGAACATAGCGCCAAGTGATTACCACCTGTTGCTGTCCATGGCGAACGCCCTTGTTGATGTAAAGTTGAACTCAAAAGGGGCTTGTGAAAAGTGGCTGTCCGAGTTCTTCGCAAATAAGGGCTATTATGAAGTTGCCGTCTAGATGGAAACATATTAATGGACGAGACGGCGCATATTTCAACTAAATCCGATTACTGCAACACTTTTTATAAAGCATTGAATAAAGAGCAAAAAATCGGAAGGGAGATATTTGACAACCTAATATATCTCACATATTGACCGCAACTTGGGGTAAAAATTAAGTATAGGTACTGGCGTCAAAATACCCAGTACCCAGGGGCTTGATCCGTTTTGGTTTCATTTCTACAGTGTTTAGTCATAAGGTGGTATGTATATTCCAAAGGCATTATTCGTGCAAAGTTGTATCCTGTTATTCGTTTTCAAATCTTCACACTGTAATATGCGATTGTCAGTAGAATGTCTTATACCGAAGTTGCTTAAAATCGGTTGGGCGCGTCCCGAGATATGTGTATTGACCTAAGAGTGGACGGTGCCTCTCCCATCATCCATTTTGGCTATACCATCTCAAATTTAATGTCACAACTTTATGGGGCGGGGCTACCATCCGATTTCACCTATTTTTAAACTGTCGGTTAGAGTTTTTATAATTTAAGTAGTTTAAGACATTACATTACATAAAATTTATTTTTTATATTACATTTTTAAAATTTTCGGCCCCTTGTTACTGCGATCACCTGTGACAAATTAGAGTTTTATATCTTAATTTAGTGCTGACGAACATACACCTTTTTTTGACCAGGAAGCGCGCATACCATACCAAGTTTCGTCAAGATGTCTTCATTTCTATTATTATATCCATATGGTACGTACATAACGACGCACATGTGTGTCCTTTCACGGTACCGATTAAAGAGAGTATGTTTTTCTCTCATGGAGAACTTCAGTTGCTAATTGTTCAAATTTTCGAACATATTTTTGCATATGTATAATACATCTACAATTTGAAGATTTAGAGTTGCAGAAATGGAAAATTCGGCAAGTTCACTAATAATGGTAAAGATAAAAACTAATTCTGAACTGTTTGTGTGAGGAGTTTGAAATCTTCGCTAAGAAACACTTTTCTATCATCAATCAATTTTCAATTCAAAAGCATTATTTGCGTGAAAAGTGCAAATGTTCGCGCATTCGGCTGCGTGGAAAGGACGGCAGATATGGCGTCAGTAACGGAGACAAGGCACGTACGTGCGTTTAACATACCCAGGAACGTGCAGGGCATTACATGAATGTGTTTATATACATGAGCTGAAATATAAATAACATTGTCGAATATATGTTAGGAGGGTTCGAAAAATTTAGACAAACAAGTAATATAAAAACACTTTTTAATCATCAGATACTTTAGGATAACTTTTTTAAGATTCGATTGACGACGAGGAATAAAGTAAAGACTAACTTTCATATTGCCTGAAAATTTGTAAACATAATAGTATTTTTTGACAACTTTGAGCATTCGGATGTAAAGTTATAGAATTATTTTGATTTGATAATATTTTAAATAAGTTTGTTTTGTGAAATCGATAAAATCAGCTAACATCTACGATCCCATCTGAACAATTCCTTCGGAGATTGTATCTTTGTCTCTTTTTAAGTTTTCCGTACGATTTTGAGCTATTAGTTTGTATGGCAACTATATTCTATATTTTCCGAGATCCGCGACCGCAACAAATATGTAGCTTCGCGGAATTTTCAGATCAATATTTTAATTACTGATGGACTAGTTCGCGTATATACAGGCAGGCWGGCAGACAGAGCTAAATTTACTCAGCTAGGGTTTCCGACGTATGCTTCTGGGCAAATTTAATAAAACTTGCTCAATGTATAATTAAAAACAGTAATTGGAAATCAGTTCAAATGTAATCGTTTTCAAGCGTATGAAAGTTACTCATACGCCCATATTCTCAGTACTATGCCCTAGCGCACCCTAATCGAAGGATTGGATTTTTTGCGAAGAATAGGGCGAAGAAAGAGTATTAGATATGAATGTGTTGTGGCGTCTGTGTATAGAATTTGACACTAGCTTTGCAACAGTTTAAATAAGGCAGCTGTGCGAAAGGGAGAAACAGCAAGAAAATCGGTAAGCGCTTACAAGTGCCACTTGTGCGCGACAGAATGTGTTGCGCTTTATTTGAACATTGCTGCCTTCGTTGTTTTTTTTCGTTTTGTTCTTTTTTCGTCTATTCGACTTTCTTCTTTCGTACTTTACACACATTGTTGTTTGATTTGTTACTTACCCATATCACGACCTGATCATCGCCACGTCCTGCTTTTTGGCGCCACAGCGGCACTGTGCGCCCCTCATTTGACACGAACACCGCGTAGCATTTGGAAAGTTCATCGATGCGTGTTTTCTTCACTTGTTCACAAAGTTTCCAAACATTCTCTTCGCTACAAATACACAATTTGGAGGAAGGAGAAGAGCATGAGTACAAAGAATTTAAGTATGTAAATGAATAAATGTTTAGAATAAGCGGAATGTCTAAGAATGTTGAACTATACTTGTGCACACCGTAAATATTCCAAATTCACATATGTGCAATATGTAAATATGTTATCAAGTATTCGATAGCTGCGCGAAAATCAACTGTTCACATCGCAGGGTGAAGTTCTATTATATTTCGCTAGACAAAAAAGTTTTTTATGATATCTATAATAGCGCATCTAAACGCTTTCAAGACGATTTAATCAGTAGGAAGAGCATAACAAAATCTTGATAGTGCATTTTTAAGTATTAAAATAAGGTTTTATTGGACTCATTAGAGACACTGCTACAAACTGAAAGATATATGCATACACTATAAAATGTGAGATGAAATAATCTTTAATTTTCTGTAGTCCAAAAATGTATTATTTTAAATAGGGGTTACCGAAAAGTTTCTCTTTTAAATCTGTTATATGATTTATCATATGTAACGAGGCTCTAACAGGTCAGATCCTCTATCATTTTGTCTAGAAAAAATATGCTATGAAAAAAATTTGCCTTAGAAATATTAAATGCTTTTTACAGACTTGTGAGTACTTTAAATAAAAAGCTATTTGTCTACCAGACGGCTCTAGCAGACCTTCTAAGGTTCCCATGTAAACAAAAGCAAAAAAAAAAAACTTTTTCCATAAAAATATTTAATTTTTATTGGGCAGTTGTATATCAACTATACAATGGCCCGAACGGAAAAATTTATTAGTAGATCGTAAAAAGTAATCCAAATCAAATGCCAAATTTCGTGACGATATATTGCCAAATAACTTTCTATATAAGAACTTTTTTGATTTTTCATGTGTCAAAGTGATCCGGCAATGGCTCCAGCAAATTAACAGCTTATTGGGTAGACATGTGCGTTTCAAGTCCGCTGACCATTTATATATGTCAAAATCGCTACTATTTTATTACTCGCAGCTATACACATACATGACCATATAAATATATGAAATTCTATGTATCTAGATAAATATTATTATCTGATGATTTAATGATTAGACTAAACCAATCAAATGAATAAATCTGACCATGGTTTTCAGCATAATAATTAGATAGCCACAATAAATTTTGCGCCTGATATTTTTTGTTATGTTACAAATCCAACAGTTATTTCCTTTTTGTTTCTGCGCCCAATTTTTTTAATTTCTCACGACAATGAAAAACGAATATTTTTTAATTACAATTACAGGAAGTGAGAAAAGGAAGCGGCGAGCCGCAAGCAGCTGTGCCATTACCTCCGCACAACTGAACTTTTGCCTCGTCAGTGGCCAGCAATGCATGACATACTATATACCATATGTACATATGTAAATAGAGAGCGCAGACACGCCGCATTATAAGCAAAACAACAAAAACAGTGCGAATTTTAACTAAATGATAAAAAAAGCGCACAATCAAAGTTAGAAAGTATAACAGTGAACATATGTATGTACATATGTATATACATATTACACAGCTATGCATGTGAATATGTGTGCGTGCGTGCATGTGTTAAAACTCAAGTGACCGAGCAGTCAGCACTTGCAACGAACAAATGTAGCAAAAGGCTAGGAACAACAATAATTTGTGCCAGCAACAGTTACATTCGGCGCACAACCCAACCAACCGCTTAATTTCACTGTGTTGAATTTTCGCAGGCTTTCGGGTGTTAACTTGCTCACCTGTCCACGAACTGCTTACCGGTTCGGTTCATTTCGTTGATGGTTAGATGTCTGCGGGAAACATAATTTTGGGAGGTTTTTCAAACTTCGCAGAAGGGCAAACTGTTTTCTATTCACCACGAAGCCCTCTTTGCATGACCCACTCCTGAGTTCTTGCATGTACTTATGCTACGTGTGTGTGTAATAAAGCATTAAGGATAAACAAATACGCTACGTACTCACACATTAATTCTTTCTCTAGTATATAACATATAATATCATATATGTATGTATGGAAGTGTGAAACCTGATTTATCACAGGTATTGTTGTATTTTTATTACGTTTTCACATGCTCACTTATGGTGCACTCGTTATGAAGGCTCTCAAACTTTCTTAAGTTGTTATATTTTATTGAAATTAATAAATAAGCATCTTCTTAATTTATATGCTAGCTTCAAGGAAACTCAGCAGAAAATACCTTCTATTTAGCTGCTGTACTTAATAACATGTAAATATAATTTAAATTCAAATTTATTAAAATGGTTGATTTACGCCCCTATTAAGCATCCATAATAGCTGCCGTTCCACAACAGAATACCAAAATTTACTATCAACCCTTATTATTCAGACCAAGAAAGAAAAATTTTGAAAACAAAAAAATAGCTAAAACTAAAAGAAAAATAATTTACGTCCGATTTGAGGTTGGGAAAAATAGGAAGGGGCATGGCTGAATCTTTAAGGGTTACGAATGTTTTATCTCGATTTCCGGAAAATCGAACATTTTATATTATATTTAAAAACAATTTGCGGATAACGTTTTACAATTTATAGTATACAAATGGTGAATTATTCCTATTAATCTCATTTATTGATCTTAGAAAACCACCATATGAGTTTTCCACGTAATATTTCTTTTCACATATTTTATTTGAAATATTTTTATTAATTGTCATATGAGACAAATCTGGTGAATACGGTGGTTGATCGATGGTATTCATTGCGTTTTTGACTTTAAATTCGGTCACAATCGTGGCTCGATGCGATGGTGCATTATCATCGTGTAAAAACCTTGAATTATTCCCCCACAATTCCGGCCTTTTCGACGAATGTTCTCACGCAAAAAGAACTCCTCATTGACCGTCTGTCTCTCTGAAACAAATTCATGATGCACTAAATCGCGAGTATCGAAAAAAAGAACCAGCATCACCTTGATTTTTAAGCGGCTTTGTGGTGCTTTTCTCGGTTTCGGTTCGTTTTTTTCCTCTCTATTTCTATGATTGTTTAATTGTTTGCATGTCAAATTCACAAATGTCTCACCGGCACTTATTATACTCTCGACGAATGTGGGATCGGAATTCTCCCGATCAAGCATGGTCAAAGAGACGTGTATACTGTAAAAATTCAGCTTTATTGGGGCGAGTCGTGTAAGAACGTGTTTCATATCCAAAATATTCAAAAAATCATTCAAACGGACTCGCGAGAGATGTCGAACTCTCTTGCCATTTTCTACCACTTGTCTGACGACTTTCAAGTACCATATCCTTCACTCACAGTTGAAGAAGTAGAAGGCCGACCAGAACGATTCATGTCTTCAACGATCTCTCGACTTGAAAGCTTTGTACCATTCGAAGGGTTGTATTTTTGAATTTGGATAGAAATACGACGCTTGAGACAAATTCTTTGTTAGATATTTGTATCCACTATAAAAATCACAAATCACTATACTGAGGTATACCGACTTAAGCAGCTGCTGTAAACCAACTGGTTAACAGTTCGCGCTCATAGTTGGCATAGTAGTTAAGGAGGATCAACTTAGAAAATACATTTTTTTGAAATATCTTTTACCGGAGAATTTGATAATAATTTCCGGTGCATTTTTGTCATAATGTACCCAAAGGAACATATGAAAAAATGCGGCGAAGATAATTTCTTTGTTGAAAAGATTTTAAAACGGAGCATCAGGTTCATCCGTACTCCATTCAAACAATGCATCAATATTTTATACTAATTGTTTTGACATCCTTTTGCAGGTGCAAATTCAAGTTGATTCGATTGTCTACAGTTCAAATGATTTTGCACGAGAATACATCATAAATGTTTTTTTTTTTTTCTTTTTGTTAATTGTTTTCTATCAGCTTTGTTCACAATTTGTTCAAATTCTTCAATAAATTTAAATACTATTAACATTGTTAATTAATTGTGCTTTCTACTGATAGAACTTCGACTACTGCCGATCATAGTTCTTATAAATTGTTGGCTTTCAATTTTGAAGTTTCTTTAAACGTAACAAAATTTAATACATAACATTAAAACCGATGTCAACGCACAGAAATTTATTATTTTAACGACTAACGTACAAATTATTTCAACTTTACTAAACACACCAAAAACTTATGTACATTGTACTCATAATTTACACACGGGATTTTTGCTGAGTTTTGTATTCAATAAGAAGTGAAAGTATGGACAATACCCAATTTACAAAATAACTGGAAGATACTCATTACAAAAATCAAACTCTGAATCTGTATTATTAAAAAAGCTCAAATAGTTCCAAATTTGACGTTTAATATATAATAGCTTTTTTTATTTTAGGGAATTATCGAATAATTAAGATAATCATAGAAGAATTATGCAAACTCGTAGTGTTGTGAAAAAAGCTTTTAAAATTTTGCAGCACTTGGCTCTGACAATTAATTAAAATGTCTACACGCTGCCTACAATTAGATCCATTTAATTTGCAAAGGATATTTTGAGAAACGTCAGGGAATCATATCACTCAGTGATTTCACAATAATTTCGAAAAGTTGATACTTTTGGAAAACAAGGTACTATCTAATTTCCTCTTCTCTTCTTCTATACTGGCGTAGAACCCACTTAATCGGCTATTGCCGAGTTAACAATCAATGCGCCACTCGTTTCTTCTTTTTGCAATACGGCTCCAATTGCAGATCCCAAGTTAAGCCAGGTCCTTTTGCACCTGATCTTGCCAACGGAGTGGAGGTTTTCCTCTTCTTCTGTTTTCCCCGGCGGGTACTGCGTCGAATACTTTCAGAGCTGGAGTGTTTTGTTCATTCGGACGACATGACCTAGCCAATGTAGCCGTTGTCTCTTAATTTGCTGAACTATTTCAATGTCGCGCAAAGGACCATAAATATTCCACAGAACCTTTCTCTAGAAAGCTCGTCACGTCGACTCACCAGATGTTATCATAGCACCATATAGCAAGATGGGAATAATGAGTGACTTATAGATTTTGGTTTTTGTTCTT